TCTCTCTCTCTCTCTCTCTCTCTCTCTCTCTCTCTCTCTCTCTCTCTCTCTCTCGCTCTCTCTCCTTTCTCTCTCCTCACTACATGCACTTTCGTGCAGAAACGATCAGGAAATTGTGCGACACGTGCCGTGATGAGAGAAATTCTGCAATTGATGTTTGAGACATTTTAAAGCGTTTGAAACATATCCCACACAACGCATTCTCTGAAAGATATTCTCAGAACGTCCATAGAATATCTCAGGAGATCCTCTGAACATTTCTTTAGAGAATTGTATGTGTGAGATACTGGATTAATGATTAAATCGGATTGACAAAGTCCGGTACCGTTATGTTAAAAGGGTTTACTCGCGACGTTATTTACATAATGTGGCCGTAAGATGGTACTTGATGTTGACGAAAGCGGACATAGGAGCGGCTTCACGCGAGTTTCGCTCGCGCACGTTTCGGCTACGTCACTGTCCCCCGTGGGTTCCAGAGCCAGCTTCGCCACGGATTGACCTCGGGACGGATGAAGGGATAATCGAGTCTCTCGAGGGACGATTATGGTACACCACTTCGATGTTACACCTTGCACGCGTTCGTATAAATGTGGCGTCGCTCTCACGTTACACAAACTGTTGATATCAACGGGCGTTGAGTTACGATTCGCAGAGTTTATCAGTTAGTCTCATGCCACGTTGTCGCACTTTCGGCTGAACACACGTTCGATCTGGACATCAAGAAGGATTGCACGGTCTGCTCGAAAATGCGAGCTCTGTTCGAGATGTTTTTGTATACATTACTGAGTCTGGACAGAATCAAATACGACCACGAAATATCTATTCTTATTCGCGTAATTCTAAATAATGAAATGTATCGTTAATGTAAATCGTAATTATTCCGATTCTAAACTATTTATGATCATCTTACTGTAATGCTTGAGGAACAGACTTTCAAAACGCGTTTTGTCCAAAATTTCATTTTTTTAATTAGAGGTGTCGGAATGTTTAGTATTGAAAGACTTATATTATAAGCTATTCTGAGATGTTCAAAAAGCATCATTTTTTCATCATTAATTTATATACTGGAAAAACATAAACATTTATATTTTTTTAATTACACAAAGAGAATTTTTTCTCAGAGTTTAAAATGAAAATATGGTAGAACAACATTATATTTCGACTAATTTTAATGTAAATCTTTCTCATTCATTAGTAAAATTACAATAAAGTATAAAATAAGTTTGATTAATTTTACTGAAGTGCAAGGTAAAAATCTTTAAAATATTGTATTGTACTACAACTACTATAGGATTATATATTTCAGGATAAATTAAAAAAAATAATTCTCTTCGTGTAGAGACAAACAAAATGCATTTATTGAACATTTTTAGCAATCGTTTAGCATTTTGTTTAATATTTCACATCCTACTGATTGATATATTATTATTTTCTGTAAAATGCGCAGGTTCCTTGTGTGCGTAATTTTTTTCTTTCTCATTTTCTGAAAATTACAAATTTTGGACAAAACGTATTTTGAAAGAGAAAGTTTGCTCCTCAATTATATTACTCTGCGAACGATTGAGAAGAGAATTGTAATCACATTTTATTATGTTCTATCAAATCGAATTCTTAACAGGTATCACTATGTGAATTTTAATTTCGCTAGCCTCTGAATGTGCGACACGCTGTTCCTCGCATTTCCAGGCTTCACTCTTAAAGCTCGGCGTTTAATTGAGACTCGATTTTTCCGCTAACGACTGCATGATGCATCGATCTGACCTTGATTTCACCGTTCCGCGGTCACCGCACCTTTTTCGTTCGGATAAGCACGATTCATGACCGACTGCGCCGGCAGTCTTCCTAATGAAGCGATTAATACGATGCCTCCACTCGCTGTGCGAATACTTGTAATACGAAATTGATGATTTCCTTCGATGCTTGCAGGGGGTAAAGGAGAAGGATGACGATGCGCGGCAATGGTCCACTCGTGATCTTGCGATCGCTGATGGTCGCCGCCGCTGCTACGACGGTACCAGGGACTTGGATGTAAGTATCTTTTAATATCAATATCTTTCGCACGATGTGATGATTTTTTTCTTTTCTTGTTTTTCCAATCAGGCGATCGAAGGTATCAATTAGTTGCATGCGCGTATTTATAGTTAGACGGGTGCGATTTTTTTTTTCATTAGGCTCGCGTGACTCTTAAAATAAGCTGATATCGAAGGACAAGGGGTGGCCTACATATCGCCGATCGAAGGATGAACTAGCATCAGTGGGGTGCTTACAGTGGAAGCTTCATTATCTCTGGACGTTGTTTCATTGAATTTTCGATGATCTAGTTGTCGTGATTTCCGATATTGGCTCGGATAATTTAAATTCTAGTGTATATGGACATGAAGTGTTGAGCGAATGAATAAATTTATTTAAGGCAAATTAAGTCACTGAATTGTTAAACGAGCAGTTTATTTTAAATGATTTATCCTTCTTTACATTCTTCGTTAAAGAGGAGATGACGAAAACGTTATTTTGTTCACATTGATCATATTACTGTCTTGAATTATATACGGAAACTGCGAAAAGTATCTAAAAATTAATTAGATACAGATTTAAAAATAATTTTGTTGAACTATCAAAATAATGTAGACTTAAACATTGATGATAATGATACAAAAAGTTTTAACATTTTATCAATTTGAATGTCCTACATAATTATTTTCATAATTCAAACAAAATTATTTTCAGATCCGTGTCCAACTAAATTTTTATATACTTCAGCAAAATAGTTCTTTTCGTATAAGATGTGTTTTTTTGGCTGTATTCCAAATTTACGTTACGTACACTATAGACATTCAGCAATGACAGTGGATTTTTAAGTACAGCCTTTGAAGTTTTAACCTACTGTATACTTTTATACTTAAAGTGAAATTAAAATGAAATAAAAATATATATATTTCAAATTATAGCAAAAACAAGAAATAAAATTTTAGTGTTCCAAGGCAAGCGACAAAGAAGAAACCTTATATTTCCCATGAAATGAAAATATAATCGACTCGTGATTTCTCTTCGTCGAAAACGTTAATTGCACGATGATCGTCCGAAACGATAAGTAGATATGTCGCGAAGAGACGAATCGACACGATTTTTCACACGATTCCAGATTTATAGGTCTTTGTGCTCATGGCGCATCGTGGGAATCCGAGCGAGGTATCTGTGCCTCCAAAAACCTCTCTCTTTCGTGCACGAATGAAAGCTATACGTCCCCACGTCGCTTATGTACTCCGCCCTGTTTGCCAGGAGTGTGTCTAATCTCTGAATTGCCATTCCGGCCCCTGTGTTCTACCCTGCGTGAGCATGACCAATCATCGAATGGTCCCGGACGCCCGCGCTCCTTTGTGTGCTGTCCGGATCGCCCCCAGACCTCCTTCGCGCCGAATTTACCTCTCGTACCCTATATCTCTCGCAAGGAAATCCTCGCTTAACCGTCTGCTTTTTTTCTTCGGAGTGCGCTTATAAGCCTCCCTTGAGGTTGCTGATCCCCTTGATTTTCGAACACGCTCTTGTTCGGCTAATCTGTAACGAAAGAGCAAAAGTCAGAAATCATCGCATTTCCGACGTACAAACATTAATTCAATTTCCCTAATCATATATATATATATATATAAATTATAGAAATCAAAGCTTTAAACGGTCTAGTCGGATTTTACATGCTTATATTATATACTATTTATTATAGATTTTAATATGTTATTCAACATTATTAAGATCGTTTCGAAGATGCGAATAAACATCAAAAATTTGTTAAATTGTTAGCCAATTTAACTCGTGATATTACTGCGGTAATTTAGTAAAGTTAGCGTTTTCAAGACTGAAAAATCATTTCGGCATGCGTTTCTGGGAACTACATACGTAATATATAAATTCACACAAGAATCATACAAGCATTTAAGAATCCAACTAGACTGTTTAAGA